ACGGGAGCCTGCACGCAGGAGCTTAACAAGGGGACCGCCAGTGCGTTCAAAATGGTTTTATTTCTATGTAAATTTAAGCAACTTTGGAGGGAAAGGAAAGATAAGCCAGTGAGCAGACAGCCCCCTGCTGACACTGCCCAGCTCCCCTGTGATGGCACAGACACAGCTGCACAGCCAGGGGCCCAGGCCTGAAGGTCAGGAGCCCGCCCACTGCCCGCTCCTGGGGGCATAGGCTCTGGGGCTGGGGAAGCACTCTAGGGGGCTGGGCCCTGAGGTTACGGCCTTTCTCCCCCTGCCCCCAACCGCAGAGGACAGCACAGGGGTGTGACCTGTGACCATGCAGCCCTCCCGTCCCTCAGCACGCCCCCCCACCCCCGACCCCCGGCCTAGGTTTCAGTAGATTATACATTTTCATTGTGACAGAGAGTGAGAAAAGCTTCTTTGTGCGAAGCACGTTTTAGCTCCTGCTCGTTGAGAGAGAAGATGTTTTAGGTCAGAGTCACAAAATGGACCAGTCGCGGGAAGAGAAGCTATGAATAATTTTACAGCCTGGGCCGCACTCAGCTATTCGGCTTTCTGGAAAAATTAAACAGACTTAGAACAATAAACTTTCTTGATGCCAGTTATGCCAGAGGCCTGAAAACGCTGTGATTCGGGGGACCCTTCGTTTGTTCTTTAGATGTACTTTTAAGAATACAAAGAAAATGTAGACATAAAATAAACGATTTCATTTAACCAAAATACTGAAGCAGGAGAAGACTAATTAAAGTGGTTTTTGCCTTGTTCTGAATTATTTACTTAATAAATATCTCTGGTGATGTTAGGGTTAACTTTCCTTTTTACTAGCAGACACACAGACTGGAACCTGAGCGTGTCCGTCTGGGACAGTCTGGGACAGCGGGTATCATGCGTCATGGGAGGAGCAGGGCGTGGGGGAGATGGCAGGGTCGTGTCTGCCAGTGTCAGGCAGCAGGACAGCGTCCCCTCCTGCAAACAGCCCTGCTCTGCAGAAGCCAGGAGGCCGGTGGCGAGAGCAGCAGCCAAGCCAGCCCACGACTCATCGACACGCTTACGTTATTAGCTAAAGACGCAGGACTCCAGTTAGCCTCACTGTTTATTGCAAACCTAAAGTTTCAGAATCCCTTAGCGGTCTGATGGCAGGTGACTGTGTCGCCAGGGAGTGAAACTGCAGGCTAGCAGCCAGGACAAGATGCCTAGACCGCCCTACGACCAGCCCGGCCCTTCCCCGGAAGCCTGCCCCGGGCACAGGCTGTCCTCGCCAGGCTCTGAGGCCCGTGACGTCCTCCCGGCCCCTCCGGGCTCCCCCAGGCACCTGCCCGGAGCACCGGAAGGGCACCTGTGGCATTTTCCAAGCTGCAACAACTATCCTGGGACCGAAACAGCATCCCCTGCTGACAGCCCAGCGGATGGAGAACCGGCCTCCATGATCCACGGCTGACAGCCCAGCGGATGGAGAACCGGCCTCCTGTGATCCCAGCGCCTTGGGACCAGCCTGAACATGTGGGCTCGTGGGTCTTCATGACAGACTGGTGGCGGGACAGGGCACACGCCACCACCGGCCCCGTGACCAAGGCGGGGTGCATGCCACCACCGGCCCTCTGACAGGACGGGGTGCATGCCCCCACCGGACCTGTGACACGAGAGGCTGCCCTCCGCAGACGACAGCTACGATTCTCAACACCTTGACTCCAAAGCTTAGCTGAGCCCTGAATGTCACGAAAAAGCAGAGAAGCAAAGACATGAGTGTGCCAGCTGAAGACGCCGGGGTGGCCGAGGCCCTGGATGCGTGCGGGGCACGCTGGGGAGGCCGGCCGGCGCTGGGGACGTTGGAGACAGCAGGCCCGACCGCCCGGGGCCTTCCAGGCCATGAGAAGGACCCTAGGCTTAAACGTTGGGGCAACCGAAACTTCCAGAAGGTTAGTAATTGCCTCCTGACACAGGCTGGTACCATTAAACTTCCACGAAACTTCCACGAAAGTAAACCACGGTCGGTCGTGCGTCCTTAACAGATTAAATGAAAGCCCGTTCTTAACAGGGTCCCCGAGGCCCCGCCCCCGAGGCTCACCCCCTCCCTCCCTGGCTGCTGCTGCCCCAGGGCTCTGGGGCCTCTGGGTGTCTGCTCCGTCACCCAGAATATTCTCCGGAGACCCCCCGTACACACCCCCCAATATCTTATCTCTGAGGTGATGGCGTCTTCTCAATTCTCATTTGTTTAAATGTCACTCCTCAGAGCTCTGGCGCAGCACAGTCGGCCCCTCACCCCCGCACAGCACCCGCCTGTCGTTCCCAGCAGGCATGACACTGCGTCCGATACCCTGCCCATTTCCCACTGGACGGAGAGCTTTCGGAGAGCAGAAAACATGTCTGTTTTGTTCATGACTGTCAACCCAGGATCTGATAAATATGTGATGAATGAATGCAAAAAACAAGTACTATATAATCAACAAAACCTAAAGCTGGTTCTGTGGAAAGATCAACTAAATTGATGAGCCTTTAGCTAGACTGCCCGAAAAAAAACCCAAAGACTTAAATAAATAATTAAAATTGCTCATGTGTCTATGGCCAAGCCCTGAACAAGCCGGATCCTGTCTGATCTCGTAAGCTAAGCAGAGTCGGGCCTGGTTAGTACTTGGATGGGAGACCACCTAGGAAGACAAGGTGCTGTAGGCGTAAAAAAAATAAAAAAATAAGGGATTGTAAGTTCACAAGGTCCTTGCAGTCTGTGAGGCCAACCAAGGGTTGCCTCGCCTAATAAATAAATAAATAGATAGATATGCAGATAGATAAATAAATAAATTAGGGCATGAAAGAACAGAAGACATCAGACTTTACAAAA